TTGAAGTCCTTACAGATCTCAATAACTGGCAATCTCTGAAACACTGAAATTCCATTAATCTTGAAAATGGTACCACTGCGTTAGCGACAAAGTCCAATTTTTCCTTGCAAATACTAAAACAAAGCAGGCAAACTGTTCTGACTTTCAAATATTAGAAAAGAAAATGGTTAATTTTATATTTCAGTAAATTCACTTTTATCTAAACAATTTTCTAATTTCACTATTAAAAAAACACATGCTAAAGAGATAAATCAAGCATCACAACCATACTTAGTTATGACACAGACATTGGAATGATCAGACTGTGAAATTAAAGTAACTACAATTAATATGTTAAGGGTTCCAATGGGGAAAGTAGACAGCATGTGGGAACAGATGGGTAATGTAAGCAGCGAGATGGAAAGTCTAAGAAAGATCAAAAAGAGATGCTAGAATTTAAAAAAAAATTGGTAATAGAAAGGAAGAATGCCTTTGATGAGCTCATCAGGAGACTCAGCATGGCTGAGGGAAAATCAGTGAGCCTGAAGATAAGTCAACAGAGTCTGAAATGCAGAGGGGAAAAAGGTCTTTGTGGGGCAGGAGTAGAGATGTATCAGAGCATCCAAGCATCAGGGGACAATATCAAAAGATACAACACATGTCCAATCAGAGGACCAAAAGGAAACAAAAGAGAATGAAGAAGAAAAAATATTTGAGGTAATAATGGCCGAAATTTTTTCTAAAATTAACAACAGACACCAAAGCACAGATCCAGGAACCTCAAAGAACACCAAGTGGAATAAATACTTAAACAAATCAACTATATTTAGGCATACCATACTCAAACTGCAGAAAACCAAAGAGAAAAGCAATATCAATAAAAAAGCCAGAGGAAGATGGGGAAACATTTTGTCCATAAAGGAACAAAGGTAAGAATGACAGCAGACCTCTCATGGGCCATCAGGAAGGGAGGAGAGGAAAACCTTCAAAGCTGTAAAAGGAAAAAACAAAAGCCCACTCACCTAGATTTCTATACCCAGCAAAATTATCTTTCAAAAGTGAAGGAGAAACAAAACCTTTCTCAGCCAAATAGATACTGAAGGACTCTGTCTCCAGCAGACATACCCTGAAACAAACATTAAAAGATTTTTCTTCATGCAAAAGGAATGTTATACAGGTTGGAAACCTGAATCTATATAAAGAAAGGAAGAGTGTGTGATGTTATTTATTTATTTACTTTTAATTTGGGGGGCAGGAGGTAATTAGGTTATTCACTCATTCATTTATTTACTTATTTTAATGGAGGGACCAGGGATTGAACCCAGGACCTCATGCCTGCTAAGCATGTACTCTACCACTGAGCCATGCCCTTTCCCTTCTTACTCTTATTTGATCTAAAAAATAACTGCTTATTTAAAGCTTTAATAGTAACAAAGTATTGTGGTGATTCTAACTTCTAGGTAAATGAAATGAACCATGGCAGTATCACCAGGGACGGGGAGGAGGAAGTGGGGACACTCTGTTTTAAGGTATTTGCACTAAATTGGAAGAAGTATGGTGTCATTTGAAGGTAGACTTAGATTGCTTTAAAATGTGTCTTGTAAACTCTCAGGCAAACACTAAAAAATTTTCAAAGAAGTGAACTTGACAAGCTAAGAGAAATATAATTAATTCCTATAAAATCGTCAATGAAAACCAGAGAAAGGAGAAAAATAAACCTTTGGCAAGAACAGAAGACAGTGATTGAAAAGCCTGATATCAGTCTAAATACATCAATAATCATTTTAAATGTGGATGGTCTAAATATACCCATTAAAGGATGGTTTGGGGGAGGAGGATAGAGCTCAGAGGCAGAGCGCATGCTTAGCATGCACGAGGTCCTGCGTTCTATCCCCAGCCCTTCCATTAAGATAAATAAATAAGCCTAATTCACTCCCCCCCAAAAAAGATAGTTTGTCAGAGTGGATAAAAATACAAGACCCAGCTATATGCTGTCTACAAGAAACTCATTTTAAATGTAAAGACTGTGATAGGTTAAAAGTAAAGGGATGGAGAAAGACTTACCACACTGACTCCAATCAAAAGAAAATTGGACTACCAATATTAATTTCAGACAAAGCCAACTTTAGAGCAAGGAAAGCTATCAGGGATAAAGAGGGGGCATTACAGCATGAGATGCAATTCAATTCAATTCTCCAATAAGACATCACAATCCTAACTGGCTATGCATCCAACAACAAAGCATGAGAATATGCATGGCAAAATTGATGGAACTGAAAATAGACGTGGACAAATCCACTATTATAATTGGAGACGTCAACATCCCCAGTCAGTAACGGATAGAACAAGTAGGTGGAAAATCAACAAGGATGCGTCATCTGAACAGCTCTATCAGTCAACTGGATCTAACTGATGTTCATACAATATTCCACCCAACAACAGCAAAATACACATTCTTCTCAAGCTTGTATGAACAGTCATCAACTGTCTTAGTCTTTTTGGGTTGCTGTAACAAAATGCCATAGACTAGGTGGCTTACAAACAACACAAATGTATTTTTCACAGTTCTGGAGGTTGGAAGTCCAAGGTCAGGGTGATAGTGTGGTCAGATGAGGGCTCTCTCCTGGGTCTCAGACATCTCGTTGTGTCCTCATGTGGCAGAGAGGCGAGGGTGCTCTGTGGGGTTTCTTTCATAAGGCCACTAATCCCATTCATGAGGGCTCCACCCTCATGACCCAATCACCTCCCAATGGCCCCGCCTCCTAACAGCATCATCTTGAGTGGTATGATTTCAACATGTGAATTTTAGGGAGGGGATGCAAACATTCAGTTCATAACACCAAAACAGAACATATTTGGGGCTATAAAGCACACCTTAACAAGTTTCTACAAAACTGAAGTAATTCAAAGTATATTCTCAGACCAGAATGGAACTAAACTAAAAAGCAATAAAGGGATTTCCAGTCAAGATGGTGAAGCAGTAGGACCACGATCCTCTCCCAATCACAACAAAACCACAATCAACTGCTAAACAACCAGCAATTAAAAAGGACTGGAACCTAGAAGAAAAGATCTTCTTCAACTGGAAACATAAAGAGGGAACCATAGTGGGACTTTTTACTGAACAGTACAGGGAACTATAGTCAATATCTTGTAGTGACATATAGTGGAAAAGAATATGAAAAGACACATATGTATGTATATGTATGACTGAAACATGATGCTGTACACCAGAAATTGACACACTGTAACTGATACATCAGTAAGAAAGAATGTTAAAAAAAACTCATAATCTAAAAAATAAAAGTAAGTCAATAAAGGAAGATAGGTGGAATTCCCAAATATCTGGAAATTAAACAACATAATTCTAAATAACACATGGGTCCACAAGGAGATAGCAAAAGAAAGGATTCTTTAAGTTTTTTTTAACTAAATGAAAACCAAAATACTGCTTGTCAAGATTTCTATCATGTAACAAAAGCAGCACTTAGACTGAAATATATAGCATTAAATGTATAGATTATAAAAGAAGAAAGAAACAACCCAAATGTCCATCGACAGATGACTGGATAAAGAAGCTGTGGTATATTTACACAATGGAATACTATTCGGCCATAAAAACTAATAAAACAACGCCATTTGCAGCAACATGGATGGACCTGGAGATCATCATTCTAAGTGAAGTAAGCCAGAAAGAGAAAGAAAAATACCATATGATATCACTCATATGTGGAATCTAAACTAAAAAGACAAATGAACTTATTTACAAAACAGAAACAGACTTACAAACATAGAAAAGAAATTCATGGTTACCAGAGAAGGAAGGGAGTGGGAAGGGTTAAACTGAGAGTTCAAGATTTGCAGATACTAACTAGTATATATAAAATAAACAAGTTTATACTGTATAGCACAGGGAACTATACTCAGTATCTTGTAGTAACTTATGGTGAAAAAGAATACAAAAACAAATATATGTACATTCATGTATGACTGAAGCATTATGCTGTACACCAGAAATTGACACAAAACTGTAAACTGACTATACTTCAATAAAAATATATACATACAAAAAAAAAGAAAAAGAAAGATATAAAATCAATAAGGTAAGCTTCTACCTTAAGAAACAAAATAAAGAGTAACTGAAGCCTAAAACAAGTAAAAGAAATATTATAAAAATTAGAGCATAAATCAACTAAATTGAAAAGAAAAAAAAATCAATGAACCACAAATCTGCTTTATTGACCAGGCTAACCAAGGAAAAGAAGACACAAACTCGCAATACCAGAAAAGAAAGAGGGTCATCAATACTGATCCCACAGAAAAGGATAATATCCCATGAAAAGGGATGATATAAGGATAAACTACACAGAACTCTGTCCCTCAAATTTGATCATCTGTATAAAACAGACCAATTCCTTAAAAGACACGTACTACCAAAACTCACACAAAGAGAAACAGACACACGGAATAGCTTTATGCATTTTAAAAAGTGAATCAATAATTAATCTTCCCCAAAGAAATCAACAGGCCCAGATGGTATCTCTGCTGAATTCTACCAAACGTTTAAGGAATAAGTGACATCAATTCTGTGATCTATTTCAGAAATGAGAAGAGGAAGGAATACTTCCCAAGTCATTCTATGAGGCCAGCCTTCCCCTAGTATCAAAACCTGACCCTTCAGCACCCTAACGGGAAGGGGGCAACAGCACCACTCAGACTGGGGCCACCCAGGGCGGCAGAAGAGGACCAGGTGGGTTTGAAAGGGGGGATGGACGGGTCACAGGAAATGCACGTTGTCTGTCCTCTGGGAACGCCTGGAACTCATCTTTCTCCCCGTCAATTTGTAAAAACTGAAAGCAATGAAAAGCTTGCGTGTCGCTGCATTTGAGCGTCTGCTGGAGAAAGACCAGCGCACCTGGCCGTCCTCCCAGCCCTGGTCCAGCGCGAGCGCGGAGGCGCGGAGGCGCTGGTGCGCACGCGCACGTCGGGCCGGCGCCCTGGGGACCCGCGGGGCCACTCACCTGGAGTCTGCCGGCGCCCGGGGACCCTCGGCCATCCGCAGGTCCGCCCTGGCCTCGGCGCTGGCTCGCCCACCCCAGATGCAGCAGCGCTCCGGTCCTCTGGAGCCTGAAACGAAAGAGACGCGCGGGCGTCAGCGGGCCGGGCACACAAGCGCTGCTCTTTTAGGAGCAGAAGGACGTTCTCCGACGCGGGTGAAGGATCACACACTCATCAAAGCTCCCCGCAGCTCGGGACTCTTGGAGCAGAACTCCCAGTTCTGCAGAGCCGCCTCGCATTCTGCAAATCGAAGAATGACAAGCCGATCACGAGTCCCGTCCACGAGTTTTCAAGGCAGCCCTGTCTGCTCCCGAAGGCCAGCAACACGGATAATAAGGACTTCAGGCCGCCGCGGCCGGGCTCGGGCTCCTGAGCAATGCATTTCTCTAACCCTTTTGGAGGAAAATGCAGGAAACCCCGTGGCATTAATAGTTCAGGTTTCCTTATGGTGACCAAAGAGGGAAGAGGGGTGGGGAGGGATAAATTGGGAGTTTGGAATTAGCAGATACTAACTACTACATATAAAGTAAATAAACAACAAGGTCCTACTGTATAGCATGGGAAACCATATTCAATATCTTGTAACAGCCTATAATGAAAAAGAAGCTGGAAAAGAAAAAATATATATGTATGTAACTGAATCACTTGGCTGTACATCAGAAACTAACAAAACACTGCAAATCAACTACACTTCAACTTTTTTTAAAAAATAAGTTCAAGTTCCCATTTGCTATGACAGGAAACAAAAACACTCCACAAGGTCTGTTCCCAACTTGTTTTTCCAAAAAAGCAAAATGCTACACAAGGTACAGAGCTTACTGTCAACTAGGTTATTTACCTTAAAATTGTGTGTACGGGGGCGGGGGGTAGAGGTGGGAATTCTACAGAATATATGAAACAAAATCTTTTCAAAGAAAGGATGACCGTGTGCACATGCCAGTGCCCAGGACAAGCCACCCCGTGTGCGGGTGACAGCATTCCCCACCTGGGCCAGAGTGCCAGCACACAGCGCACAGACCAGGGTCACCCTGGTGTGAGTGGCGGCCTGACCTCTGCATGGAGCCGGGCTGCAGACTGAGGCTCAGACGCAGCTCTGCCCCGTACACCCAGGGAAGGCTGCAGAACTCCCTACACCTCACTCTCCCTCCCTCAGAGGATGATAGGGGCACTGAGATACGGTGCTCAGGCCCCCCCACGGGTGTCCAGCGCCGGCACCCTGGTCTCCCTGCCTGTCCAATGAGGGCTCTGATCCCCATGACTTAGGAGAGTCCCTGAGCTCTAACGTGACGGCTGCTGCCCTCCGCGCAGGCCACCAAGCTGGAGGTCTCCTAAGTCCCACCACAGACCGCCTCCACCCACCATAGGCCTGCTCAAATACTGATCGGTGAGGGTGTCCCTGTCCACGCAGATGACACCCAGGCCAGACCACACCTATGCCTGCCCCACCTACAGCCAGGGACTCTAAAGGGGCCCTGGAGACATGGTGCTGTGCGTACCACTCAGTCACCAAATCTGACCCATGAGCTCCCAGGCCTAGGCTCTGCCCACCACTACAGCCACACCCCTGTCAGACCCCCAAGACCCCGTGCTGTCAAAGTCTCACACCTTCCAAGCCAGTGTTTGAGCCATTCCCTTCTTCACTCCTCTAGAATCTTACTGATAAACTCCTATTCATCCTTCAAAGCCCAACTGGGAGAGGCTTCCCTGAAATCTGGCGGTAACCACCCACTTCCCAGCCCGTCTTGTTTCTGCAGTTTTCACAATCATTCCCTCTCCTGCTCCCTCTGGCGCCTGGCCTCTAAGAGGCACAGCTCTCCAGAGACTGAAAAGGCTGCTGTGGCCAGCAAGCTGAGGGCATGAGCCTGAAACACAGCCTTAGAGAAAAGGGAGGATAAATGGAAGGAATGGCAAAGACTGGGAAGGGACTCCAAGGGGCGGAGCATTGGATGGCATCCCAGGCCACTTGCTGGGCAGGCAGAAGGGTCATGTACACCAGGTCTGGGGACATTCACTGGCAGCTCCCCTCCACCACCAGCCCCACCAGGCCCAGCTCACATATGAACAGCTCCGAGTCCCAGGCATGGCCAAGGGAGCTGCAGGCCCTGGGTGGAAGCTGGCCACCCAGCTCCCGTCTGCAACACAGGCTAATTCCTCTTCCAACAGAAAAGGAGGCAGGTTCTCATACTGAAAATGCCTCCTGTCCCCACCCACCTCCCTCCTCATTCACATACTCAGAGTGACAAAGTGCTGAGATCTGAGTGGGTCAGAATTTGGGGCTGGGATAGGGGACCAGGACACCATGGGAGCACCAGTCCCCAGAGGGGAGCCAACACCCTGGCCCTTTCTCAAACCACAGGAAGCAAAACTCCAAAATCTGTTACCAAAGAGGAGTCTTAAAACTGGAAGAGGTTAACAAGACAAAGACATAATTAACAATCTAGGGAAAACAAAAGGAGGGCAGTTGGAGTCATGATGCTTTTGTCAAAACCCAGAGCATGTACAACACAAAGAGTGCACCTGACTCCAATTTAGTTAATAATAATAATAACAATTGTATTAATATTGACTCGTCAGTGGTAACTAATATACCATGTTAACTTGAAATGATAATAACAGGGAAAACCAGAGGAGGGAGGGGTTAGAGGCTACATGGGAACTTTCTGCTCCACTTCTCTGTAACCCTAAAACTGCTGAAATAATTATGCTGACTCATTAAAAAAATATGGTGGCTGATATTCAGGAGGCTGAATGTAAGAATGGATATCATTGAGGTAAACTAGAAGATGGAGTGAAGGGATTCTCCCAGAATGCAGTGTGAATGGCACTGAGCAGCAACCCTGGTGGAGGACGGATTTCTCCTGACTTTGATGAGAGCCACCAGGCTCCAGGGGCATCCTTCCCAAACCCCTTCATCACAGTCACCCCCTCTCCAAATTGAGGAACATCAGTAAATTCTCAGGAGTTTGGTTGTTCATCTTTCCCCAGGACTGCTTCTTTTGATGAGGGGGATGGAGGAAGAGGGCACAAGAAAATTAGAAACCATATCAACCTTTGCCGGGTGCTTGGCCCCTCCCAGGCTGTGGCATTTCACAGTTCATGGCCTGAGGGGGTAGCACTCTCTATTTAGCGTTCGGCGGTGAATTACATTTTTTTTTGCTGGTTTTCTCAAAAAATTTTTTTTAATTTCTTTAGAAGGAGTCCCAGGGAAGCCTTTCAGAAAAGCAATTCAGCCTTCTCTATCAAAAACTTAAACATGCATACTCTTTTACCCAGTAACTATCCATTTCCAGGAGTACTCACATATACAAGAGATGGTGTGAGTCTAAGGATTTTTACTGCAGCAGTCTTTTGAAAAACTGGAAGCAACCTAAGTGCCCGTAAATAGGAGAATGGTTAAATAAATTATGGCGGAGTCCACGTGCTGAAATACTCTGAGACTTCTTTTTTTTAAAAGAGGACGGCCCA